GAGCAGAGCTTGTTGCCAGTGATGACCGACGGCGCTGAGACGTGGTCCCGACGGCTCTGAGACGTGGTCACTTACTACAGACCTCATGAAAAAGCTCAAACTGACTCAACAAGCTATGGAGCGAGCAGTGCTCGGCATTTTTCAAGTTGATCGAATTAGAAATGAGGAGATCCGTAGAAGAACAAAAGTCACCGACGTAGCTCAAAGGATTAGCAAGTTGAAATGGCAGTGGACAAGGCACAGCTGTTAGAACTGACGCCCGTTGGGACAGGAAGCTCCTCGAATGGAGACTACGAACCGGTAGGCGTTCAGTGGGACGGCCCCTACCAGATGGACGGATTACCTGATAAGAGCGGCGGGTAAGCGGTGGATCCACGTCGCGTCCAGCTAGCAGGCAATCTTTGGGTGAAGCCTATGTTCAGCAGTGGACGTCTTCTGACTGATATGATGATGATTAATTTAATTGTAATTGTTCTTAGCTAAATATGATCTACCTCTATGGCTGAACGGTCACCATGCTGGACTGCATAGGCCCCAGGATCGATTCCCGGGTCGGGAGAAATACTTACATGGTCTACATTTATTTCTCTCATGAGTTTGGGTGCAATTAGTGGTTGTGTACCTAAGTTTGCGTGTGTGTCCATGGCACTCGCGCGATACAGGATTTCCCTGGTGCGGGGCTACGAGTGTGTGCTTTATTTATTTATCTATTTTATTCCCATTTGTCCGATTGACTTGATATTTGAAAATCCGATGACATTATAATAATACGGTAACTTTGATGGTGAAACCGACAGTCTGCGGCCTAACCAAATCCTCAATTTATTATTACTTACAGACAACGACGGACAAGCACAAAAATTAATGAAATTGATCAGATTTTTTTTAATAGCTGATCGGCTCAATTTCATATAAGGATCATTTCATTGTATGGAACGAAAAAAAAATTGGGAATTTAATCGAAAATGTTTATGTTAATTAAATGAAAAAATAACCTGAGCCACCGGAAGTTCCGTGGATTGATAACTGTATGCTGAATAGACTTAGTGTTGTGATGGCTCGGAGATTGCGCTCTAGGCACATTCCTTCAAAGAAGTTTACATTTTTAATGGGCATTACACCAACTCCATATTGTAGTAATTGCGGTGTTGAGAACGTTTACCACGTTTTCATGGAATGTGTTCGGACCGAGAGACTCAGGAGACAGTGTGGTTAACATACGACAGACTGGGTGGTGTAACAGTATACTGGCCGTTCCTTCGTCGAACAAAGCCAAAATACTGTACAGAATACAGTAAATAAATAAAAATCAGTATTAAATCGACTAAACTTAAGAGGGAGCATGCCAAAAAAGTTTTGACGTTAGCTCCGCCCAAATTTGTGAACAAATATATTATGCCTGAAGTTCGCGTGACATGCGACAAGAGATGTTGAATTTTGCGCATTAAAAGTACCAAATTCGTTTTAGCGGAATAACTCTAAAACTAAATATGGATTAAAAAAAAATCCCTAGTGACAGTTCTCGATCATGCATAAATATAATTAATTATCTAATTTTTGTCCTAATAACAATTCGAGGATGAATCGAAAAAATGTGAAAATTAGAGGTCATTTCGTGATTTTTATCTATCGAGGAAACTTTTATTGTTTTATGTTTCTGATTAGTGTCTATACGCGCTGCAGCCGCGTGACTGTCACTTTTCATACAATTTCTAGAAGCGCTGCAACCGCTCGGCGGCCGCGCGACAGTCACGCTGCAGTCACACTCGATTGCAGTCACCACGGTGGATGAAAATTAAATTGAAGAATTTATAGAAAATGTAAAACAACACCCTGCAATATGGGATAGCAGTTCCGCCAGTTATTCCAATCGACTGGATAAAAAAAGGCGTGGGAAAATTTATGTCTAAAATTTGTTGACAATTTTGAAACTCAAACCACAACTGAAAAAAAACGCAGCGGGTGAGTCATGTTTATTACCTACATGTGAACTGTGTGCCCCAAGAACCAGGAAAAGTTTCTTCGTCAGAATCCAGCGCGCAACTGATTAAAACGAAAGATGAAGACATCACTAAAAATTTGGTCGCACTTCTGCGACGGCTGCAGCGCGACGGCTGCAGCGCGACGGCTGCAGCGCGACGGCTGCACCGCTTCTAACAGCGGCTAATTTGAACGCACCCTTACCTAAACGTCATTTCCAATAAGTCCTTGTTGAAAATTTGAATTTATAAAACAGAGGGAAAACTGTTCTTCAGCGATAACAATATGTGTATATGTGTTCTGTTGTTTAAGAATAAAAACACATGGTGGTTCGATTTATGTGTCTGAAAGTATATATTTACATAGTCTTAATCTAGGTTAGATGTACAAACTAAGTATAGCATTACGGAGCGACATTACCATTTAGTTACACATGGTAAAACTCTTTAAATTTAGATTTAAAAAAATGAAAAAATGTTATACCAGATGTCGCGACGACTACCAAATAGCTATTTGAAACTGTTCTTAAGATATTAAACTTATTGAATATCACAATACTGCCATGATATTCAATTATTTTTGTGAAATTACTCCACTCAGCCACAGTATGGCAATGGTATACTGTGGTTGTGGATATGATATGGAATTTTTAAATTATATGAATAAAATTGGGGCCCCGCGGCCCTGCAAGATCCCCAAGAAGCGTTCCCCCTTTGTATGACTATGCTAATGCGTTGGGAAAGGTTGCCGGCCCTTGGGTTTCCCAAACAGTCTATTAATTTTTTGGACAAAATTTTTGCTGTAAATAGGTAGGTAGTCGGAGCCGAGATCCTGGTACCTACTTATTACTTTTTACCCAACTGAAGTAAATAGAACACGATATAGTATAGTATACGATATAATTAATACTTCCTGTCAATTTATTTGTACTATTCCTCCGGTTCTTATATGATTTTTTTTAAATATCAAGTGACGGGACGAACAAGTCGTGCGCCTGATGGTAAGCTGTACGCCAGTCCATTATACACCAGTGGTTCAAAAAAAGATCATCTCGTTATAAAAATGTTTTTTAATAAACACAAACTTTCTTTTTAAACTGTTGGACATGAAAACATTTTATCGGATCTAAACCGTGACCATAGTTCTTTTGTTTATGTTATTGTTTAGTTTGAAAAACGTTAAATTTTAAGTTTGAAGTTTATTTATTTATTTGCATTTCACATATAGTCTTAAGTGTCCACAAACTTAGAACTATGGTAGGAACTACATGTGAGACCCTGTAAGGGCGTAGCAAAATACACTTATGACATAGTACATATTTTAACCATGGTAATATAAATTACAGTTTCATATACAACTGTTTAAGTCTTTTAATATTCATATCTATCTATTTATCAAAATTCAATTTATTTATTTGCATTTAAACTCTAAATTGTAAATTAGTGCATAGGAACATACTAACGCGTACATTATATACCCTTCAAAGGTTGTGATGACATTTAAAAATATTTGAAGATTTCGGTACATTATTTATTTATATCATCGAAGAATTCGGCAATACTGTAATAACATTTTGCTACATGAATTGGTTCAAATGATTTACAAATTTAGTGTAATTTGGTATAACTTTAAGATGATTAGGTGTTTAGTTAATAAATAACACAAATAAATAAAACAAGTTATACTCATTACAATATAATCTAAATCATGTGTCAATTTTAATAAGTATATAACAGTCTACAGCCTTATCATGTACCTACGAATACGTATCTGTAATTCAGTATATCTCGGCCCTTTTGGGGTAAGTGTACTTAATATCCTATTCATCAAGTTAGGAAGTGCAGTGTTTTATAATAATATACCTATTTTCTATATATACCTTTTTATTGTTACAGCCTTACTTCTTTGTAACCAATTCTTCTTAACCCGACTTTAAATAAATTTGTGGACCGGAAGTTTTCTGTTTTACTGCCGTGAACCTCGTCACGGCTTATTAGGGTTACAACCCTTTCAGTAGTATCGACTCATAAAAGCTACAGGCCACAATTTAGCACTATTCAAGGCGAGAGTGAATAGGCCACTATTTAAGGCGATGGTGAATAGGCATATGCCAAACTAGACAAACGCCATGTGTGACTATGACCTTGTGTTCGACGATTTTATGTGAAATATATTATACGTAAACGTTTTCCGAGGGTTGTGAATCTTCTTCGACGTGCAGATTTCATGTTTTTCTTCACTGAAAAGCTCATCGTCGCCTTAGAGTCAAAACTGCGCATACGCGTTTTCACATAGTTCGTTTTTACTAATTTTTGTTGAAGAAAAACTTAAAAACTTTTTGCTGAAATATATTATTAAAATAATATAGTATCTAAAAGAGGTATAATTGAATTAAGTAAAATGCTACCTACAAACATTATTGCGTTTACTCATTGACTTACAAATAAATGGACGACGGGTCTAATACAAAAACCACGAAAAAAATGTCCCAAGTCAACCTATTTAAACGTAGTGACATGTAAAGGAATATGAAAAAGCTAAAACGTTGAATTTAAATTGTAATGTCATCGCAGTACTGTCTAATTTTGCTTGCTTCGCTGTCAGTCGAACAAACGAAGACTAAAGCGTGAATGACGCTCTGTATACGATTTTAACGCCCTATAACCCTTTATAGGGCAGAATTTTTTGAATAGAAATTAACAACTTTTGGTATCTCAACACTAAATGGGTTTAAAATGGAACCCTGAAAAATGAGATATTAACTAGTCAAGTATCCTGGTTTTGTCTGTACAGGGTGGTTACATATGTAACCAAGACCATTTAGGTAATAAGCCGGTGGTTATATTTGTAACCATGACTGTTTAGGGTCAGTGACAGTAATTGTGGACAAACGAAAAAGAAAAACAGGTTCTTATAAGAAATATCAAAAATGTTTATTTTAAAATACTCATTAACAGTCTTGAACTGGTATTTATTAATAAAAATTTAAATTTTAATGCAATAGTAACAATTTGTCATGCCTACAATAACAATCAGTCTTAGACAGCATTCTTGAGATCTAAACTAAATTACATAAATTCTTTATTATTAGATAATTAACAGTCTTACACAGTAATTAACAGACATAGTTTCAAAGTAATCAGTCTAAAGAAGAACAAACAGAGTAAACTTATCAAAATGTACTTATTAAATAAAAAATAATCCTGCGTACATAATCATCAATCATCTGGGGACCAAGCCCTTCAAAATGTAGTTTATAAATTTAAATAAAATTCTTATTGATGGCACATCTTCTTACAACCATTCAAATGAAAATCTTTGAAACATCCTAAACAAAGGGACACCTCACAAATATTGCATCCTATTCTACTACGGACCGGTTTTTCTTTTGTACTGCAGTATCCACAGCGTTTACAAGTTGTTCTCTCGGGGAAATGAGGTTGATCAGCAACAAACTTGGGTTTGTTTGTAATTCCAGATTGTCGTTTTCTACTCATGTAGTCAGATATCAGCTCATCAGCTAACTTACTTCGAAAAGACAAATGAGAAAGCCTTTTAGCATGAGGAAGAACGTCTTTAGCTACCTCCCGGTAAACAATATAGGAGTTCACAACAGCACAGTCAAGCAAATAATAAAATATTTTTAGCCACCAACGACGACTTTTCCATGATACGGTGTAAGATGCCATTAATTGATCGAAACGATCGACACCTCCCATGTATATATTGTAATCAGCTATTGATTTGGGGCATTTCACTTGTTCTTTTCTTCCTTCTCGATTAGTTCGCAAAACGGATGTAATAGCAGCAGGATTATGCATATTTGATGCCATCAAGACGCATTTCTTTCCTCTATCTTTCCATTTTGTTATAGAAACGGAGCCATCCATCACACTATCAAAGTCACCTGTAGCAAGATCTTTGTCGTCGCGCAATCGTTCCTTGGGAAAGTATTTTCTTGTTGCCAGTAATGTTCCGCAAGCGAAGATTTGTTTGGACAAAAGTTTCGTCAACAGGCACAGCGAATTAAAAAATCGATCAAAATAAACGCAAAATCCCAGACCTACAAAAGTCTGCGTCAGTTTCATAACCACTTCTTCGCCCAACCCAACCTCTGATGATGGTTTATCTTTTTTGCCCTCGTAGATTTCCATGCAACACATGTATCCGGTTACAGCACAGCATAAGACCCAGACTTTGAAGCCGCGCTTGATCGGTTTTAATGGCATATATTGCTTTAGCATTGAGCGACCCTTGAAGGGTATCATGCTTTCATCAACACTAAGAAACCGAGATGGGCTAAAGACTTTTTTGAAATTTTCAGAGAGCATGTTCAATAGGGGCCGAACTTTGTGGAGTCTGTCATACTCAGGATCGCCGCGGATTTTCATGGTAGAGTTGTCATTCAGATGTAAGTATCGGAGGATCTTTAGAAATCTTTTGACAGTCATCAAGCCTGATATGCGAGCACAAAAAAAGTTTTGATCAGTAGACCAGTAGTGACGTACAGAAGGAAGAACGTTGAAGCCCATAATAATTAATATACCGAAAAATGCGTGAAGTTCCTTTACATAAAGGTTCAATTTGTTTCCAGAGTACAGGTTGCTTTGATCTACTATATGCTGAAACATCTGATTCGTAAAAAATAACATAAAAATTTTTAATGGTGAAGATAAATCGATCTCTACATTAATACCCCTGTAAGTGCCAAATTTATGATTTTTATGCTCGGGTGGTTCTCGAAATATTTTACGAAATTTATACGGATCAGATTGATTTACTTGTTGACCTCGAACGCTGTGACCTCCTCGTCTACTCGAGCTTGAACGCTGCTGCCCCCTAATGGTAGTACGAACTCTCCCTCGTACCCTTGGACCTCTAGTTCGGACGCCACGGCTTCGTCTAGGCTGACCGCACTCCACAGGAACTGATGACGGAGCAGGCGAAGGTATTGGAGATATAGGTATGGGAGAATCATCCATTGGAATATCTCTGGAGGGATTTTGTAGTAAGTCGAAACAGTGTTCGGCTTCTTGATGCAAAAACGGGATATCATCTTCATCAGCAGACAAAGTTCTAATAGGCGGTGGCGGAACTGTAGATGACTGAGAAACATGTGGAGACTCTGGTAAGTTAATCACAGATTTCCGCGTTCTTTGTGATGATGGCAACACACTAAGAGGAAGGAGATCCTCTGGATCAGAATCGCCCCCAACATCGGAATTCTCAGCTTGTTCTTCATCAATCGCCCATAGAATGGCTTCGTATTCTTCGTAGGGCATTTTGTCAAGGTCCAAAATTTTTCTAGACATCTAAAACAAACATAATTTGACATAAAACATCGACTCTGACTTATTAGCAAAAAAAAAATACTAATTGTTAGCTACCCACATTACTCTGATAACTTGATCAAACCTGCACGCTAAAAATACCTACATTTTGGTTTGAAAAATTATCTTTGCCCAAATTATTAGGATTAATTGTGTGAATTTATCGAAAAGAAGAATATTTTTACTAATAGAAAATACTAATAAAGTACTCGGGTAGTTAAATTTTATCACCATGAAAGACAAAATACGAGACACTTCAAAACATAACCTAAAATTGATGAAATTCGGCATACAAATTTGAGATGTAATTGTAGCCCAAAGAGTAATTTAATTTAAAAAAATTTGTATATCACATTAATGTAATATTAATAAATAACTAAATTACTTACCTTGAAGGCCTTAAAGTGTAATAATCCATTTAAAAACAATTAAAATACACAGCGGCACGTTTACTCTGCTCGTCGTATGGACTAAATGCACAGAAGTCACATTTGTAACCACCAATATTTGGCGCCATTGCAGCCATTTGTGACTAAGATAACGCTGGTGGTTAAATTTGGTGAACTCTGCCCGTTCAAGGACTACGCGTTATTACCATAAGGGTGACGTTTCACACAACAGTATTCGTAAAATCGACCTTACTGTCAGGTGGGGCGGGTGGTTACAATCGTAGTACTAATTTCAAGTCTACCCTATAAAGGGATAAGTTCGGACACTTTTTAGCGCGGACCCGACGTCCATATAATTGTAAGTCAATGCGTTTACTACATTTTATATCACATTTTTGTCTTCGTCCTGAAAAATTACATGTCGATGCCTTACTTTCTCAAACTCGTATCTTATAAAGAGTGATTATTCAGGATATAACAAAACTTTCCATTTATGTTAAATTTATTATCAAGGATGTTAATTTGGACGCATTAGTTTAAGGATTGGTAAATGCCAGTGTGTGAATATGAAGGAAATGTGATGAAAAATCAGCCTGCATTCGAAAATTTGTATATATGTACAATCCATTTTTTGCATTTCAGTAACTTTGTGCTTTAAGATACGAATTTGAGAAAGTACGGCGACGATATCGTACCTAAATCACATACGAGGTATTCACTCTAAGAATCATATTCCAGAACTCTACTCAATGCTCAATTCCGGACTTGAGCAGACTTGAATATGATTTGTGTTCGTTTGTATGTTCAGTGATTTATATATTTATTTATTTATTTGGTTTTCCAACAATGAGTACAATTTACATTACAGAAAATACACACAACACGTTATAAATACAATTGCCCCATTAATTATAGGAAAACACCGCATGCACAATAATGATTATTCTTATATTAACTATTTTTAACAAAATATTTATTAAGCAAAAGACAATCCACAACGTTTTCAAAATTAAGCCGATAACACTAGTCGTTTAAGGGCAGTAACAGGCACAGTTCCCAAATCCGCCGAATCATAATTTTCCATATACGTTGAGAGCATCCGAGAGAGTGGACAGTGTAGTCTGAGATTTGATTTATGTCTGGGAATGCAAAACAACTTTCCATTTTGTTTTCTTTGTGGTCGAAACGGAGCGCTAAACTGATCGTTTGAACTACTTTCATATGGTTTCATTAGAAAAACGTAGGTGGATGAATGATTTACGTGCATTGCACAAAATTGCCAATGGTTTTTCTGATGATGGCTTGCTAAGGATGCTACTGTTCAGGGTGCCGACTCGGTCTGTGCGTAATCAACGACTATTCAGTATACCCATTTCAAAAAACAATCTATCACAAAATAATCCTCTATATAGGATGTGTGGGTATTATAATGAAATATGCACTAATTGTGATATATTTAACTGCAGTGTCCCAGCATTTAAGAGGTCACTGCTAGCATTAATGTAAAGTGAATAGGATATTCTCATTCTCTCTATTTTTTATTTCTCTCGATTTTTCTTTTTTTTTATGATTGATTTAGTGTCTGTTTAAGTATATCTAAATGTTTTAAAATGAATGATGAGCACAGTAATAATTGGGCACAGATATGCCTGTTGTATTAATTTTTAAGTGTTTTTATTTTCCTCATTTTCTGTACCTGATGTCTGTACATTGTGCCATAAATAAAAAATAAATAAATAAATAAATTTCAAGCAATGGAAATACGACTCTAATGGCAAGGACTTGAGTATGATTTCTAGTGCTTTAAATCATACTCAAATCCTGTTTTGAGCATTGAGTAGAGTTCTGGAATACGACCCTAAGACGACGTCATGCTAAATTTCAAATTAAATTTCGCACGTAACTTCCGAGAAATTTAGGTTATATTTTATTTTATTTAGCCGTTAGGCTTCCACGGCTTCATTTCTACGAAATTTCAAGGAACTCACAATCAGGATGCCTTTTGGCCATGTGATATTTCAAATTACAATTCTGAATATAATCAGCATTACATATGGGACAGACAAATTCTCTTATATTATAATGTCTTTTTTCGTGAGTAATCAAGTTTTTCTTCCATCTGAAGGTTTTTTCGCACACTTCACACACAAACGGCCTTACCCCACTATGTACTAAGGAATGCCTTTTCAAACTGTTACGTGTGTTAGTCACAAAGCCGCACTTTTCACACTTATAGTTCTTCTCGCCCATGTGAAACTCCCTTTGATGTCTTAACATTTTGAAATTGTGCGAGAAAATTTTGCCACAGGCATTACATTTTGGTCTTTGAACGCCGTGGACTTGTTCCATGTGGAGCGGCCGCTCCTGTGGCTTCAGTTTCATCCTACAAAGCGTGCAACCAAATATTAGCGTCCGTTTTATTTTTAAATGTACCCGCTTGTAATGCACCCTGAAGTTTTGTAGTACTCGGAATATTTTTGAGCAGATATTGCATTTGTAGTTCTGGTCGTTGTCGATCTTGATTGTTGTGTAGTTTTCTAGAAAGAAAGAATTAATAAATAAATAAAAAACAAATATTAGAGAACATACGTTGCTCTGATCCCAAAGTAAGTAGCTAAAGCACTTTTACGTTATGGAAATCGGAAACAACGACGGTACCACCAACACCCAAACCCGAGAAAATATAGAAAAGTTAGTTTTCTACACTGACCTGGCGGGGGATCGAATCGAAAACCGGTGTTACGGACGGCCGTACGCGTCTGGCCGGTTAGAGCAATAATGAGTAATTGACGTCTGATTGGCCGAGAGGCGTCAGCAGGCAATTGATAGGGTCGTACGGTGTGGGAGACACCGTATCGGTATAAATATAAGCGAAAATTTTCATTCTCATCTCATTCGTAATTCATTTGTAATTGTGTTCAATCGTGTTCGATAAGTCAGATGGACATAGAAATAAATTTTATGGAAATGTACAGTCCACTACCTAAGGCTCCACTCACCCTGGCACAGAGTCGAAGCGTCGCGTCGCGTCGCGTCCTGTTTTTCACGACGCGTGACGACGCCCGTTTCCATATTTGCATAACACAAATTTGTACATTAATAATGGGATAATAGAGATGAATATACTATAGGCGAAAAACATGACGCGTCGCGACGCTTCGACTCTGCGACAGTGTGAGTTGAGCTTAAGTCAATAAACTAGAAGATTTAAGTTTCAAAGGAGTTTTTATTGAAAAAAAGAAGGATATCGAATGCAGTTCCTGGTCCGTTTGAGGCGGATTGGGACAGGGTAACCAACAACCTGTGTGCAAGCCACAAAACCACATATTATACGTCAAAAAAAAGCATCAAATAATTAGACTCTGTAACGTCCGAATCAATTACTATAAGTAAGTACTCGACAAAATGAAAAGACAATATCAAGTATCAAGCTTCATTCGCATCATGTGTATTTTTATTTTTGGTCGAGTGCCTATTACTTATTTCACAGTAATTGTTTCGGACGAAAAAGAGAGTACAGAGGCAGGTTCAAAAGTAAGCTTAAGTGGCAGTGGGTCGGATATAGAGATGGGAAACTTTTAACTTTTTGGAAAACTTTACTTATTTTTTAAACGTTATGCTTTTTTAAAAAAGCGTGCTTTTTAAAACGCTTTTTCACTTAAACGATTTTTAGTTTGAAGCTAACAAAATCGTTTAGAAAACGTTTAAGCGCATAGACTTTTATGTTAAAAAAAGCTTGCAACGTTGTGTTGATACCGAAACGCAAGAGTAGACCACTAAAGGTTATAGGATAAGTTTTTTTGAAAAAAAAAACGAGTATTATTTTTGTTTATGACATAATATTATATTAACATTTTGTTCATTGGCGTTCAAAACCACAAGTTGCTTAACTTTTGTAGTTGTTAACCGTTGAAATGGAAAAAACTGTATATTTTTTTAACGTTAAAACGTACGTTTAAAAAGCGTGCTTGTAAAAGCGCTTTTCACTTAAACGCTTTTTACTTTGACGCTTAAAAAGTCGTTTAGAAAAACGTTTAAGTGCAAAGACTGACCAGTGACCAACGCTTACGCTTAAAATGAAAAGCGTGCTTATGCGCATATTTTAAAAATCAGACTTTTTTAAGTGCTTTTCGTTTAAACGCCCACCTCTAGTCGGATATTTCTGCAGGTTTGCCCACCACAATAAATAATTGAAAACATGTATTTTTTATATTAACTTAACACAAAAATATACTATGTATATATGCGGGGTATTTTTTTTAAATCACATCATAGCATCAACGCCCCAAATTGCTTCCTAGGTCCCCCTAGGACTCTTCAGCGCCCATTGGGGGCGGCCACTGTGGGAAACTATGATATAGAGAGTCTGTGCCATTCGAGCCTAATGAGCTATGATTTTTAAAGTCGTTTTACGGTATGCACTTACTTTTTGTTCGAAAGATGAGATTATATAATTTGACGACTAAATTGCTGATTAGAGATTAAAATAACACGCATAGTAAATTACATGGTAGGTTTATTAAGGCACATCGATCGTTAGTGATTGTGTCACTGCCATTCGACTGCCGTTCTATTGAGACTCAATTGCCATTGCAACTAGATTTTAGCGGGATAACAAATATTGTCTTAACTGCATTATAATTCTAGTGAAGAGTCAATGGAATTGAATGAATTGAAAGGAATGATACTGCCTCTGTGGCCGAACGGTTACCACGTCGGGCTGCCACGCAGAAAGTGCCGGGTTCGATTCCCAAGACGGGAGAATATTTGTATGACCTTTACATTTATTTCTCTCGTACGTAATGTGAACATTATTGCTGTATGCTGCAATGGTACTGGCGAAATTACAAGCACATGAGACTTGTCAACTTATGTTCCAGACTGACGGGCGCAGCGGCAGTGCCCCCCAGGTCTTTCTGCTTTAAAGCTCTGAGTGGCACTACAACTGTTATGGATTTGGTATGATAAGAAAAGGTTCGTATTTATTTATTTATTTATATTCAGGTTACTGAGACCCATAGATACATACCTTACAGACTAACATACATTTATGGTAACGTGTTTATACTCTGTCCAACCTGTGTGTTTATTTAACTTTTGACAGCTCGAATTCTAATCAATTAGTCATGTCCTAATGCGTTTCCTATTCGATTTTGTTATAACAATCGATTTTATTTATGAAGAAGTTTTAATCGTGAATGTGAGCGGGTTAAAAAAAGGAATATTGTCGGATTGGGATCATGATGTTGCGTTTGACAATTTGTGTA